TCTCAACTTTTTTGTAAGATCGTTTGTTCAAAAAGCTCTTTTGGGACAACTAAAATGTTAAATATTTTATGATATATGATACTATTATCATTTTGTTTGTTTGTTTGTTTGTTGTGAGACAGAGTTTGCACTGCTGGCAGGCTGGAGTGCCATGGCACGACCTCGGCTCACTGCAACCTCCACCTCCCTGCTTCAAGCAATTCTCCTTCCTCAGCCTCGCGAAGTAGCTGAGATTACCAGCGTGCCCCACCACGCCCTGCTAATTTTTGTATTTTTAGTAGAGACGGGGCTTCACCACATTGGCCAGGCTGGTCTTGAACTCCTGACCTCAGGTGATCTGCCACCCTCCTCAGCCTCCCAAAGTGCTGGGATTCCAAGCATCAGCCACCGCGTCCGGCCTATCACTTGTATTTATCGTGTATGTTGTTGCAGTTCAACATAATCATCAATTATAAAATGCCTCTCCCATTTCACATTTCATAAGAGTGAAGAGGTTTTTCTAAAAGAGATTTTCTAGAATAGATGCTGTGACATAATTTTGTTCTCTTTTGAGATTGGAAAAGTAAGGATTTTTAGAAGATTTCTAGGCAGGGCAGAGATCTCAGTTGTGTTTTAATTGGATTTCCGTGGTTGGGACTTTTTCTCAGCATCAAGGTGAAGGTGAGAACAATATAAAATTGATGTGGACTTAGCATTTGTCTTTCGCCCAGAGAGATGACAGAGTAGGGGGAAAAGATGAGAGAGTAGGGTCCTCATTCAATAGTGATTAAGTAACAGAACATAGACCAGGGCTGGATGTGAAAGAATTAAGAGTTTGGACAACTGATTGGGAAATAGTGGTGTTCCTAGAGAATGGAGGTGTTGACGACATTGAGTGACAGCCCGGGAGTGGCTGAGTCAGAAAGATTGAGGGGTGGGGACCAGGCAGAGTAGGACGCTGGAATCTGCATTTTTAAGATGACAGTATCTCCAAGTGATAAGAAGATTGATGTTATGGCTGTGGAGTGGGTGAATAAAACAGAGTATGAGGAAGGTTTCTGAAACCAACAGGTCAAGGATCCCTGAGGTGTGATGTTGGGAGCCATGGGAGAGCAATGCCATTTCCCACACCACAGCAGGTGTTCTCAAAGCCAGAGCTCTGAACCAGAAGCACCTGCGTCACCTGGGAACATGGTAGCAATAGCAACTCCTGGATCCCACCCCAGACCTGCTGAATCAGACACTCTGTGGAGTGGGTCCCAGCAATAGTGTTTTCCTGAGACCGCTGTGGACCTAGGGGAGGTTTACTGCTCATAGATCATCATCGCTCAGGACAGAGACTCTTTCTCCCAGGTCCTTAGAAAAGCAATGGACGTAAATGTTTTCTGCTAAATCCCATTGCTGTGGTCCATGCAGAGTGAAAGAATTCTGAAACTTTTCACCCATTTCCAGAGATGTGCATTTTGTGTGTAATTGCATTTGTTTTATATTTACTTGACCTTGGCAATCATTTATCCAGTGTGAGGTGGCCTTTTAACCAAGGCCCAGGATTCCAATTAAACCTGCCTCCTTCACCCCAATATTTTTTTTTGAGACAGAGTCTTGCTCTGTTTCTCAGGCTGGAGTGCAGTAGCATGATCTCAGCTCACTGCAACCTCTACCTCCTGGGTTCAAGCGATTCTCCTGCCTCAGCCTCCCAAGTAGCTGAGTTTACAGTTGCACGCCACCACGCTCAGCTAATTTTTGTATGTTCAGTAGAGACAAAGTTTCACCGTGTTGGCCAGGCTGGTCTCAAATTCCTGACCTCAACTGATCCACCCGCCTCGGCCTCCCAAACTGCTGGGATTACAGGTATGAGCCACTGTGCCCAGCAAATTGTGCTTGTTCATGGTGAATTAAAGCTGTCCACACCACTTTTGGGGAAGACAGCAATTCCCCTATCACCTGGCAATCCTACCCGGGAGCTATTACTCAGCCACCCCGATCTATCTAAGAGGACAAGATTCCTCTAAGGATAAGTGGTCTTGATTTCCTGGTCTTGACTTAAAGGGGAATTCTGGAATTGTCTGATCTGCCTTTGGGAAATAAGAAGTGGCCCCAGCTTACTCCAGATGGAATAGGTGATATCACAGGTTAGTTCATATGGTGGTTGGTACACATACAGACAGACGGGAAGCAGGGAATCTTCTCAGGATCCGTATCACGTCTCATGAAGTCATCAGAGGCACCAAGCAAATAGATGGCAGACCTGGAACAAGAAGAACATCAAAGGGCTTTGGAGACAATAAGGGAACTTCAAATGGTTTGCTTTCCTCTCTCCCCTCTCCTCCCAGCCCCCATACTCACATACATAAAAGCGTCCAAGCCCTATTCGGCAAAGCCCGTTACTCTTGGGTCCAGCTTTCAGTGAACAAATGCAAACACAGGATGGGTATGATTCCCCCTCATTAGCCATCAGGATCCTGCAGCTTCGTGAGAAGTAACGACCGTCCACTGTGATGACCAGTGGTCATGAGGACTTTATCTCTGCTCAGCGCCCTTCTCTCGTTCACCCCACCCCACATCGAAGCCAGAGCATTTTCACTGAAGTGCAATCTGTTTGTGCCAAGGGCTGTTTCTCCTTTTTCTCCTCAGTAGCTTCAGTATGTTTCCACCTTGAGATGTCCTCAGTCATCAGAGGGCGACCTAGCAGTGCCCACACTGTATTCCCAGGCAAGAAGAACCTGCCCTTACAGAAAGATGGGTCTGCAGCGCTACAGTAGCACCTTAAGGACAGCAGGCGGCGCTCCTGCCCCTTATAAACCTACCCCGAGGGACCTGCATAGGTACACCACTGAATAGTAGTATGCAGCAAATTCTTTTTTTTTTTTTTTTTCATTGTGGTTGTTGTCCAGAGGGAATCCCGCTCTCTCCCTAAGGCTGGAGTGCAATGGCGCCATCTCGGTTCACTACAACCTCTGCCTTCCAGGTTCAAGCGGTTCTCTTGCCGCAGCCTCCCAAGTAGCTGGGATTACAGGCACACAGCATCATGCTTGGCTAAATTTTGTATTTTTAATAGAGATGGGGTTTCACTATGTTGGCCACCCTGGTCTCAAACTCCTGACCTCAGGTGATCTGCCCACCTCGGCCTCCCAAAGTGCTGGTATTACAGGCATGAGCCACCACGCCGGGTCTGGAACCATATCTTTGTTGGACATAGACTCGCTCTGTCCTCCCCGGGATCTGTATTGGGTTCCCCAGTCGTGCAGTGTCTCAGTGGGTTGCCTGGACCCTCTGCCTGTCTGAAGCTGCCTCTTCAGACAGGCAGAGCCTCAGTCTGGGGCTGAGACCTGCTTAGAATCTGCATGGGGTGAGCGTGGAGAACACCAGCTCCCTTCTCCTGGGGTCTGGGCATTTGTTGTTGGTGTTGGTGGTCACAGCAGTATCTGGGCCCATTGAATTATTTTGGTCAAGAATTGTTAATAACCCACTTGATATTCTGTCTCTTTGCAAACAGTGGTCTCTCTGTCACTCCAGGACTTCTTAAGGCATTCTACCAGAGCCCACCTGGTAAGAGTAGCCTTGGCTCAAACAGACATATTCTTATTCCAAATATGTGTCGTGGAATCACAAACTGAAACTGCTATATTCCAAATAAAATAAAGAGCTGGCACTCACGCTGGACGCTTCCCCAGGGTCTTGTGGTCAGGGATTGATAGGCCATTTGCAGGACATATTGGATAAGTGTTCAAGGGACAGTTGGAATCTGGGAAAGGTAGCAGAGGGGGACAGGAGGAAGAGTCATATTACACCTCAACAAGATGTCAGCAGAGACACTAGGTTTAGGCAGTGACCATGTCCTCTTGGGAAGGAAGAAAAAGACAAGCTCAAAAGGACACAGGCCCCAAGAGTGAGATATTAAGATGAGCAGCAGTTGGAGACAGCCTGGCGTGGGAGCCATGACCATCCTGGCACATACTCTGAGGACCTAAGAGGGTGTTGCTGTTGCTGGTCCTCGTGGAAGGTCCTGATAATGAGTCTATCAGAGTGTGGTGCTCCTGGGCTCTTTGTTTGACTCATTACAGCTTTCTTAACAACCCATTGCAACCTTCAGAATAAATTGTTTTTATTTTTATTTTTATTTTTATTTTTTTTTGAGACAGGGTCTCAGTCTGTTGCCCAGGCTGGAGTGTCTCACTCTGTTGCCCAGGCTGGATTGCAGTGGTACAATCTCAGCTTGCTGCAGCCTCAACATTCCAGGCTCAAACAATGCTTCCACCTCAGCCTCCCTGATAGCTTGGACCACGGGTGTGTACCACCATGCCCAGCTAACTTTTTGTATGTTTTTGTATAGACGGGGTTTCACCATGTTGCCCAGTCTGGTCTCAAACTCTTGCAACCCGTTCCAACCTTAATTAAAGTTGTTTCAATAGAACTGATATAACCCCCAAACTTAAAAGGCAGATGTGTGATCCAGGTTGGTTGAATAAAACTCCAACATTTTTGGAAACAGCATGATGGTTTTTCCTTAGAAGGAATGATTTGTTGACTGCATAAACTTTAAGCTGACACTGATTTTTTGCCCAGGACACCGGAGTTCTTTGAGCGTGGATCCAGTGAAAATGAGGCAGAGTGAAAAGACAGAGCAGCGGATGGAGAGATCAGGGGCATCATTTGACCTTTCATATACATCTGTGTCTGAAACCGAATTCTTCCTTGAAGTTCCTATAATTTGGATCTTTATTTTATTAGATTGGCCGGGCACGGTGGCTCACACCTGTAATCCCAGCACTTTGGGAGGCCAAGGTGGGTGGTTCATGAGGTCAGGAGATCAAGACCATCCTGGCCAACACGGTGAAACACCATCTCTACTAAAAATACAAAAATTAGTCGGGCATGGTGGCGGGTGCCTGGAATCCCAGCTACTCAGGAGGCTGAGGCAAGAGAATTGCTTGAACCTGGGAGGCAGAGCTTGCAGTGAGCCGAGATCTCGCCATTGCACTCCAGCCTGGGTAACAGAGTGAGACTCCACCTCAAAAACAAAACAAAACAAAACAAAACAGAACAAAACAAAACACCCGGATATCATGGTACCAAGTATTTATTTGGGATGAGGACAGGAAATTGATGACATGGTGTAGGAATAACAATTCCTTTTAATGCTCAAAGCAAATTACGAACTCTTTTTCTCTAGTCTGCAAGCTTAGTAGCAGCAGATTGGGTAGCGTTCATCATGCATGAAGCAGGTCCCACCAAGATGTTCTCCAAAAAGGCAGTAGAGTACTCTGCAATGGCAGATCAAGCCCTTCATTGAGCCTGGGGACCCAGAGAGAGCATCAGAAATTGAGTATGGGGTCAGCAGTGGGTGGTAAAGGGAATCTTGGAGAAGTCACATGTTGGCTGATGAGTGATGTTGGCTGTATTGCAGCCGGTAGCAGAAACAATCTCAGTCAATAGGAATAAATACACAGAGCAGTGCTGGTCACACAGGACTCGAGACTCATTCTCCTTGGCTTCACTTTTTTGCCCTCCTGCCCCATCACACACACACCTGAACGCACTCTTAGGCTCCTCTCCAGGTTCTAAAACCTCCTACATAGATAGGGTGAAAAATTTTCTATATACTTAAGCTTATTTGTCTGGATCCAGAAGGAACGAGGTAGCATCTCCTTATATCTTAAACCTAGTGAATTTCACAGTGATATCTTGGAATCATGATTTTGGAGAAAGAAAAATCTCTTAGATTTATTTGGATCTCTATTCCATTTAGAAATGAGAACATCCAGGACCAGAGATGTTAAGTAAAGTCACCTAAGTGACATCTGCCACTGAGACCCAATTCCAGAGCCTGTCTCCCGTCCTTCCCTCTAGTCTGTAGCTCTGCATGCTGGTGTCTCTCACCTGGAACCTGAAGAGAGGAGCCCTCATCTCCTGAAAAGTAAATGAGTACATCATGGTCGCCTGCTGGAGGCTGCTCCTGGGCTGGCCTCTCATCAGCTCTTGCCTGGAGCGGCTCTGCCCAGGTCTGGAGGGCCACCAGGAGAATGGCAGAGAGGAGGGTGAGGGTCTTCAAACCTGTGGTCACCTGGAGGAGAGGAGGGAGAGCAGGAGCAAATGTGTGGGGATGGAGGAGCCACCCTGGATTTATAGCCCTGCTGCAAGAGATGGATGCTGCAGTGAGAGGAGGCGGGCGTTTCATTGGAGATGGTGCAGGTATCCATTGGCCTCCACATCCTTCTGAGGCTCCTCTGCTCTCCCAGCTTTCATTCTAGCATGAATCTCTAGGTTTAATGTCTGTGCTAGGTTGGAGCTCATGGTGCTGATAAGGACCCTACCATTTTTTCCGTTTTTACCTGCTTAGATATTTATTTTTAATATTGCAAAAAATAATAGAAACAGTGCTTTAATTCAGTAATTTCAGGGAATAAATGTCTCTTATTTTCTAAAAATGAGCCCTCTTCTCTTCAGAGATGCAGCCCTTCATAACAGACCTGAATTCCACTGGAGTAGAGAACTAATTCATTGCAGGATTCAAGGGCATTACCACCCTCATGAAGGGGTGTTTGAGGTTAGGGATGAGCAGTCTCCTATAGGAGCTGGTAGAGAGGACAGCAACCTCATCAGGCTATAGGTGAAAAAGTTCAGTGAGATAGAGATAGAATTGATTGTAAGATAAAAATATGTTTATTATTTTCAGCTCTATTTACATACATGGGTCAATTAAACATTGTATGCATCTAATGTATACTACCTTAGAATTTGAGATATGTGTATACATGGTCTTTTTTCCTAAACCACGTACAAGAATCAACTCAATGGATTGAAGACCTAAACATAAAATCTGAAACCATAAACTACTAGAAGAACATATAGGGATAAAGCTTTTTAACATTAATTTGGGCAATTGTCTCTTGGCTGTGACATCAAAGGCACAGGCAATAAAATGGAAATACACAAGCAGCGCTGCCTTGAACGCTAAAGCACCTGCACAGCAAAGAAAACCATCAACTAAATGAAAAGGCAACCCAGATTATGAGAGAAAATATTTGCAAACCCAACGTGGTAGAAGGGGTAAATATTCGAATACACAAGGAGGTCAAACAACTCAATAGCAAAAAAAATCTGATTAATAAATGGGCCAATGAGCTGGCAGGATGCTCAAAAAGGCAATCTCAGTGCTTTCAAAGGCCAAAGCAGAAAGATAGCATCAAAGGAAACTATCAACTAAATGAAAAGGCAACCCAGATTATGAGAGAAAATATTTGCAAACCCTACATAGTAGAAGGGGTAAATATCCAAATACACATGGAGGTCAAACAATTCAATAGCAAAAAAAATTAATCTGATTAATAAATGGGCCAATGAGCTGGCAGGATTCTCACAAAGGCAATATCAGTGCTTTCAAAGCAGAAAGATAGGGGTGGTGAGGTCCCTACCCTGTAGCAGTAAGAAGAGGCTGGTTTAGTGGTGAGCTCACCATCAAGGTGGGATTCCTTGGAGTCCCCTGGTTCTAGTGAGGCTGTGGTTTTTCTTGACAGCCCCTTGGGTTGGGGCACTGTGGTCTGAGGTTGTGGCCATCCATGACCCCCACCCCAAGAGATTTTTCTAGGAATTTCTACAAGTGTAGACTTCCAGTGTAGACATGGTTGGAACTCTTCTCTCATACACATGCATTTGAATTTCCAGAGAATATTGAAGTGAGCCTGCACTAGATGGGAGCTGACTCTCCATAAGCCTTGACACCATCAGGCTGGAGTAAATATTCTGGGGAAGCTGTGGGTGGGGGTGCAGGTGTGGGTGTGAGAGGAGAGAGGCCTCTAGGAACAGCAAGTATATTTGCACACAACTGAGGCTGTCTGGTGGCCCCAGCAGACACAGAGTGTGTGGACCTTGGGCAGGGCCCTGGAACATGGTTTTGACCTGGTAGGGAACGGCAGTCATGGAACATAGCATGTGTGTTATCATGGGACAGGGCGGAGGCTGCGTGGAGGTGAGCTCTGAGGAACCTCCACCTCCCAGGTTCTCAGAGAGCACCGCCCTGTCCCTCCCCTCGGCCCTTTGTCCACTGTCCTGAAGGGAGGGTCCTGGTGCTGCCTGTGTCACACAGTGACTCCCAGGCCTGCAGATCCAGCTGGGACAGGCAGGAGCTCTGAGTCCCTGCCCTTTGTCCCCCTTTCCCAGTCACCTCTCACAAGCTGTCTATGTGTCTGCCGTTGGCGTCTGCAGCAATTTTCCAAAAAACTGTGAGGGAATAACTCCCTTGTGCTGTTTAAAATGTGTCCCTAAATCATTGACTCTCCTCACACAGAAAAGGAAGTGACTTGTCTCCTGTTCAATTGACACTGGGTAACATCTTGACCTGAAAGGAGCTGGGCACATTCCTCAGCCCCGGGCTAAAAACTCCCTGAGCCCAGTACAAACACATCCTATCCTCCCATCCCACCACATATTGCCATATATCTCTCAAACTCCCTGAGCCCAGTACAAACACATCCCATCCTCCCATCCCACCACATATCGCCATATATCTCTCAAACTCCCTGAGCCCAGTACAAACACCACCTGGAAAGTCTCCGATAAGGAGACAGCCGTTCAAGGTTTTAGTGAAAGCGCGGGAACCAAAAGAATTCCTTTGTTCCCCTGTAACTCTCGGGCTATAAAAAGCAAACGCTCACATTGTTCGAGGCCCTCTCGTATACTGTGGAATGGAGGGACCAGGTTCGAACTTGTAGTAAAGATCCTTGCCGCTTGGCTTTGACACTGGACTCTGGTGGTCTTCTTTGGGGAACGAACGGTCTGGGCATTACATCTGGGGGCCCGTCCGGGATTCCCCAAGCCCACCAGACCCCTGGTCAACGGATCTGCTAGGATCAATCTACTGATAGGTGAACTGGCTCGTCTCTGTTTGTCTGTCTGTGTCTGTGTGTCTGTTCTGAATCTGAATCTGTGACTCGTGAGGTCTGAAACTGGAGCTGGCACAGTCCTGGCGGATGCGCTATAGGACGGCCAGTGGAGACCAGTGGGAGACGTCCCCTGGCTCTCCTCTGATCTAAATTGCGATCCGAACTGCCTCGGTTCCCGGGGCAGCAGCTCTCTTTGGTCTGGGCTGCCCCAGCGCTATCGCGACCCAGGCAGCTAACTCTGACCCGGGCCTCCAGTGCGCGCTTGCGATCCGAACTGCCTCGGTTCCCGGGGCAGCAGCTGTCTTTGGTCTGGGCCGCCCCAGCGCTATTGCAACCCAGGAAGCTAACTCTGACCTGGGCTTCCGGTGCGCGCTTGCGATCCGAACTGCCTCGGTTCCCGGGGCAGCAGCTGTCTTTGATCTGGGTCTCCCGAGCGCAATCGCGACCCAGGCAGCTAACTCTAACCCGCGCTTCCGGTGCGTGCTTGCGGCCCCGGTTCCCGGGCTTCCGGCTTCCAGTGCGCGCTTGCGGCCCCGGTTGCCGGGCTTCCGGCTTCCGGTGCGCGCTCGCGATCTGAACTGCACTTCCGGTGCGCACTTGCAGCCCTGGTTCCCGGGCTGCCGAAGCGTGCCTGTGACTAGATATCATTAATAAGTAAGATCAGATTTCCTTTACAGGGATTCTAACCCACATTCCTTTACAGGAAGAGACTACAAATCATTACAGGATGGGTAATACCCAGAGCACTCCTCTATCTCTCCTTACAAGTAATTTCAAAGAAGTTAGAGCAAGGGGCCATGATGTTGGTATGGAAATCAGGAAAGGAAAGCTAATTACTCTGTGTCGCTCCGAATGGCCTGCCTTTGATGTGGGGTGGCCACCCGAAGGGACCTTCTGGCTTGCTGTCATTACTAGGGTAAAATCCAAGATTTTCCTACCTGGGCGTGCGGGCCACTTAGATCAAATCCCATATATCCTCATATGGCAGGACCTTGTTGAAAACCTGCCTCCTTGGCTGTCCCCTTTGCAATTAGCCTCTGAACCCTGTAAGGCACTGGTTGCCTGACCACTAAAATCCAAGCAACCAACTGCCCCCCCCAATCCTGTTCTACCTGACAGCGGGGACCCACTGTTCGCAGAACCCCCTCCGTACCCCTCCGGGCCCCAGGCCCCAACCCCCTGGGCTGAGCTGCGGGGGGGAGCAGGCGGACAGGAGGCGGCCGACACACACTGGCCCGCTGAAAGGGAAAGTAACTTTGAAGGGCCGGCGGGGCGGACGCGAGGGCGCACTTCGCGGACTAGCCCCCCCCAGCCGCCTGACTCCATGGTGGCTTTACCCTTTCGGGAAATAGGACCCCCAGATGACACAGGAATCCCCAGGCTCCAGTACTGGCCATTCTCC